CTGTTGTTGTTGCCGCTGTTGTTGTTGCTGCTGTTGTTGCTGCTGCTGCTGTTGTTGCTGCTGTTGTTGCTGCTGCTTTGCTGCTGCTTTGATGCTGCTATTGCTGTTGTTGCTGTTGTTGCTACTGCTTTGTTGCTGCTGTAGCTGTTGTTGCTGCTGCTTTGTTGCTGCTGTTGTTGCTGTCGTTGTTGTTGCTGCTGCTGTTGTAGTTGCTGCTGCTGCTTTGTTGTTGCTGCTGCTTTGTTGTTGCTGCTGCTTTGTTGTTGCTGCTGCGTTGTTTCTGTCGTTCTTGCTGCCATTATTTTGATAGTTGCTGTTATTGAATTTTGAACGAAAGCTACAAAGCTGTCAGTTAGTTGGATTAGTCTCAGGTTTCTCACCATAAAGTCACCACTTCTGTGGTTACCATAAGACTCCTCCAAAGTGCGGTCTGTTTCCATTGTTCTTTTGTTCCAAGAATGTTCAACAGATGTTCAAATGCAACTGCATCGCAAAAACTGCCTTAACCACGTCGAGTTTTACGAGTTTCATATTAGTTATTCTGGTTATTCACTGCTGAACTTATAATACTATCCTAAAAAATCCGACAGCTAGAAAACACCTTGCATGTATTCCAACGAAACTCCACAGAAAGCTTTGCGACAACTTGTGGTTCGAATAATCGTACTTAAATGACTTAAAAGTATTTACACACTGTCACGAAAGAATCTTACTTCGGAAACCAGTTCACTACTATAGCGTCGCAGCTCAAAAACGCGATTTATAAACTGAATTTGGCCTGACAAAACAATATTCATGGAAACGCCGCGCGCAGTAGTGCAAAATTCGACGACGCGTTTCTTGTTCAGAAGTAACACTTTTACATCAAAGTATAGTAAATATTTTGTTTTTAGCGATATACCCTTGGTTGCTTTCGTTTATCAGCTTATTGCAGTGCTACGTAATATTTTCATAAGTAAAGGTATGACCGAAATAAGCCAAGATCTTTGGTGCATGTCAACATGAGCATGTTGTTATATCAGTAGTGATTGATCATCGTCTTAAAAAAGCTATTTCAAAATGTTCTCAAATATGATATTACTAGTGATAAATAGTGATGCTTATGCCGTAATATAAATTTCTGCCTGAAAACATACTGCTTTCAGAATACCACAAGGAAGCCCACAGGAAAAGTTTTTTGGAATATATCGCTTGGATCCGGAGCTGATCAGAATGTTTCTTTAAGTTCGGCACTAGTGAATTGACTCCAACAGGATTAAAATTTATTGACTTCAACAGAACTACTCTTACCTTGTAGCCACGTTTTCGTTTCTACCTCAGTAGCCTTTCCTCTCAGTAAAACCAACTTCGCTTTCAAACAGAGCTCTTGTTATATTGAGTCGACTGAACACTGTGAAGCAAAAGACAAGGCAGTTAAAGAGATTGCATGTTGAGAAGAGCTACCTTTAGCGGGGTATCCCACTGAGTACCAACTAAAGCAGCATTGTTCCAGCCATCACAGTGGGGAAACCCCTTCCTTTTGTCGGTTTATGACAAGGAAAAGATACATCGGATAATAACATTAACAAAAGACGCTAGACCGCCTGTGACTGATATGGATGGACTATAATGTTAATCCATATCCGCGTTTATCATTCTTCCGTACAGTGAATCAACAGAGTAAAAAAACTGCACGAAATCCAAAAACATATATCGAAATAAACTTTTAAGCTAAAAATAGTAAGCTTAGCTTTGGTATAAATATCTTGTACTGCATGCTGATGCTTTGTCCTACGAAGACCCATAAACCAAAACGTAGCCACAGGCAGCCCAATCATATATAAGAAATATCTTAAAAGCTGGCTTATGGAACCATAGTTTTCATTTCCTTTAGGCGAAATTTAGAGTCGTTCACCTTGAGCGAAAGAGGCTACTTAGTTTTTAAAAAATATTTCAAATAAGAGGTCGGAAAAGTTTTCAAAATTCAAGCTGTCTCATCCCATCTCAAGGAATATAATTCAGTTTTATRAAAACAATATTTGGAAAATATTCAGAAATCCATTCCCAACGATTACTTTCTTTCCAAAGAAGCGCAATGTAATGCAATGGGTTTACTGAGTGTATTATCAGTAATGACATATCTATGTAGACACATCATCTGGGTCGTCCCCTGTAAGTGAGCACAAGAATAACAAAAATGTAAATACAGTTCTACAGGATATGATCTTAAATGTACATTAAAATACCTAGAACTCACGTAACGGTGAATACTGTATCGACCAAACTACTCGTCTGTTTCTAATCGGATTTACAACTCCATGCTGGAGGAAAAGCCTAACACGTTTTGCAACCCACTTGATAAGGCTACCGAAGAAGTTGATTTTTTGATATACTTTGTGCCGCTTATACTAAATATTTGTCTAAAGCTTTCGAAACTGTACTAATTGTTTTTAATACTCGTAGGAAGGCTTTTTCTAAGAGATTTGTGAGTTTTTCCGTGCATCCGGTTGGTAAACTGTTAACGATCGATGACAGCGAGAATCTCGGCCAGGGTCGCTCGCTTCTTCGTGTACTCAGGACTTAAGAGGGAAATCATTATCTTGATACGACAAATGCATTGGTGTGCACATTCGAAGTTTTTCCCCTAGGTTTTCTGAACGGATGTTTAATTGATGCTATTTTTACTGAAGTCAACGTACTTGGGACCATAGTTGGGACCAAGGTTGAAGTATTACGTAACTGCAATGGTAAAGTATGCGCATCTAGTGATTTCGCTTACACTCAAACTATATCTATCAGTCTAGTATTTAAAAGGTTAGTAATAACAATTTTTTAGAAAAAGATAATAGAATATGATTGCTTTGATGTAAACACAATGATTTCTGTGTATCACGCAAGGTTCTGTCATGCAATTATTTTTCGAATGTCACGCGAGATTCAAGCCTCCAGTAAACAATGCACAACTTCAACAATACAAACACTTTGAAATTCCACGGACCTACACTGGATCACATCGATATTCTATACAAAATTGAAGCTAGCATGAGCAACAGAGAACACGAAAATTTTAGTATTTCTCCCAGTGTCATGCAAGGCTTAGTTTTCCGAGTGTCACGCAAGGAACTGTGATGCAAAACTATAGCGAGAAGCCGCACGCGGGCGACTCGCGCAATGGAGGTAACTGACGCAACAGGCAACCTATCTGGGAGATAAGTGAACGTGTAAGTCATGCCTGTGGGATCGTTCTCGTACCCTAGGGCTCTACCTGCTGCGCTGAAAGAATATAAAAAAAGACGTTGCACAAAATACGTTTATAAAATACTCAAAAATATGTCAAATATGAAGCGTGTTGGGCAACGTCTTTTTTTATATTCTTTCAGCGCAGCAGGTACAGCGTAATCTCAAACTCCGGGAAGAACGTTTTTGTTCAGAAGTCAGTTGAAATAATTCATTTAAAAACACTGCAGATTTTTTGTCTTTTTCTTTGTGAAATACGTCTACGATAACGCTATTTTAAAAGTCCGCTTTTAACAAGTTTTAGCTTTTTTAACAACTTTTAACAAGTTTCTTAAAAAACTGAGAAACTTGAACAAAATTAGGGGTTAACAGCACACTTCTGCCACTAGAAAATGCGAACCGTTGCCATAATTAGCTTCGTTGCGAACTACGAAATTGAACACAAATTTTGACATTTTTCTTAGAAAAGCAGAAAAATAGTAACTAATACAAACAAGACTTCGTTTTCTTCCCAAGTGTCATAAAAGAACCGCTTATTACTTATCTACGCTTAAAAACTTCTGTTTCAATTCGGCTTTTTTGTGAAACTTTTTGAATGGCGTTATACGGTGGCTTTCATACTAACGAATACATTAGGGCACCAAACGGTCGATAAAAACATCTAGCATCTAAAACAATAATCACACAAAAAAACAGGCATTTTTTTAACTTTTGGCCATAGTTTTTTTCTAGAATTTTTTCACGTTAAAATGTTAACAAATTTTTACTTTAAAAAAACGTCATCTTCCGTGCTCAAGCAACCACGAGGAATGTAACAATCAACTCTGTGAAGTTATTCCTAAAAACAGTTTTATTTCAAAACAATGATAAAATATCTCAAGTGTGGCATCTTCTTTTCTGTGTCATCAGAAAATAATTATTTTATAATCAATATTTTTAATGAAATATTTTTATACATAAATAAACTTTTGTTCATTTTATTTTTAGAAATAAACTGAATTGTAAGTTTTATGCTCGTACATCAACAGTTCATTTGCAGTAGTTTGAGCTTAATGTTTAATACTTAACCCCCGACCCTAAAACTTGATATTTAGCAGAATATATGGATTGGCGACTGAAAATACGATTGATATATAAAATACTACTTTATATTACACATATTTTGAACTAAATTACTTAAAGTTTGAGGAACTTTGCATATTTCATAACTTAGGCAGAAATCTTTCCTTACCTCAGTAAACTCCAACTTTTCTGTATCGTATTAAAATTTCTTTGAAAGGAAAAAAATAAGAATCCACTTTTCTTACACGAACGTTGGTATAGCACTGTCACCATATAGCGTAGTAAACAACGGATCAAAATAGTTCTCTTAATATTCACGCATTTTGTCGGAAGTAGGCACACATGTTTATTGCGGTTCAAGAGGGCGTACGGTTGACAATCGCTTTTCCGCTCTTTTATTTCGCCTGGCATTCTGCTCGTTGCTAAAAAATGACACCGTGAGAGAAAACAAAAGGAAGGATAGCTTCTAGACCACAAATAAACAAACAAACGAGCCAGGAATCCAAGAATAGCACTAAGAATGAATGAGTCAAAACATTATATTCTGTGACGTATTCTTTTGTTAGTGCGTTTTTATTGACCTCTGACGTCATTAAGTTCATGTGGCTCAAGTATAAAACGCGGAATTGATCGTTCAAGAGATTGTTGACCTTGAACTTGTGTGCTAATTCTGAACTGAGCAGAAAATCTTAAAGCAGATCGAACTGACCACGAAAATGGATTGATATTTTTGTTTTCACTTTTCCTGCCTCRACATAAACGTATGATTCAAAATAGCTATAAACTAACAAAGGAAACGATGGTCACGGTGCAGAAAGAAAATAATAATAATAAGGTAAATCTCGAACATTCGAGATTTGGTAAACAGTAATTAGTTTGTTAGTTTGATGACTTCAGACTCGTACAATGAAAAGAGCAATTTCTAGGCTTCTCAGTTTGAGAAAATATTGACTTCTTGACTAACGATATTTTTATCAGTTACGTGCTGAAACTTTATTTCACAAAGAGTTCCACGTGCTAAAGTGTTTTAGTGCCAAAGCTTAGAACTGAATGAGTTCTGCTTTTGGCCAAGGACTCGCAACGGCAACTCAGCCACATTCTTACGGCAAAGGCGAGTATGTTGCACGTTGGAATTCGTCGTCAAACGGTTGTCTGGCAACACCGCTGAACACAAGTATTAGCGACTCTAGTTTCGCCATGTTTTGCCTTTACATTCAGGAGTTCTTTGCTGTGAAGTATCTTAGCTATTTTCAGCTTGTCAAGACGAAGAAAAACATGGAAAAATGCCCGGAAATCAAATATAGGGATCTAGGACTCTAAAGGATTTTTTAAGCATAGCAAATCTTAGGTTTTTCAATAGCTATGTCCATAATCCCTAATGCTCTTGATTTTAGAGCTTACTTGTTTCCTAACAAGTTACTTAGCAAAATTGGACGGAATTGGGTTTTTGGAACATGACCAAGTTCATAGGTCAAGATGGATTAAATCGTTATGCTACCACCAATCTGGATTATGCTGTCATTCACGAAGCGAGAAACTTGCGTCTTACGATTTACGAATTATCACGCCAAAACTAATCCAAACATTGATAAATAAGAGTGAATAGGATGCATCCTTTTTGTTTCTCCTAGTCTTTACAAAAAGAGTTCTACCACTCCCTTCTTTCACTAATGAAATAATCCTGTAGTTGCTTATCAATTCCTTCAAAATAACTTAATGGCTCAGCCAAAAAGAATGTTACTAGCTCAATGTTGTGGAAACTCGAGCTGGAACTGAAGTATTGACATCTAATTTAGTGATTAACGAGGTTAATTTTTTGCGTGAGAAGAAGAATCAAGTCATTCCGACATCTTGTATAAAGATGAAAGGTTTATTCACGGATAATGATCTTTACAATGGGTATCACTTACAGTAATATGGAAGAACGCTATACTGATTATTTGACCATAAATAGAGGTCAAGGCAAGACTGCAAATATGTCTAAGCTTTTTCTCTCCACGTCAGAGAGTTCGTAGTTGCTACGTGAGAGGTAGCTTTGTCGAAGACTGTTCTGTTTGGCTTGAAGTACGTAAACAGAGTCAAAGGTCAATACGTTTAGAACTCTACTTCAGATTATAAGATTCTTATAAGAAAATTCCAGAGACGGAAAATCATTTAAAGTCCACTCCATACCGCGGGTATTTGCTGCCATTGATAAACGTAAACAAAGTTATCAGTTTTAGTGGCTCGCATAATTTTTTCTCGTCAGAGGACAGTATAAGCCGGATGCGAGGAATTCAGTGAGGTCTTCGTACGTGACGTCGTTACCTAAGTCATCGATTCTTTTAAAAGTAAATTCAAAAAAAATAACCACGCAGAGCGAAAGAAGTGTTATTTCTCAATGATCGGGTAAAATTTCGAGGCTTTATTTCACGTTTAAATGATTTTATTGAACGTTTTGAAGAATCCCCATACATTTCCTTATAATATGACACCACAGAAACCAAGCCTGGGCTACCTGTGGGTGCATAAGCGAAGATTACAATAACTAACAAAATCAAAATATTATTAGATAAAGCACAATTAAGCATCATTGTTCTTAGAGCACATGCCAGCACGTATGAAAAGTATCGGCAGAAACTAGAGGTCAACCTCTTTAGACGATGCCGAAAGATGTACAGCAAGCGCAAACATCGGGGGAAAATAAAACTGATTAACACAACATATAACTATAGTACTCTGTGATCATAATATTGTACATTGGAACCACGGCTCTGAGGTGTATATACCGTCATCGAATGATGTCCCTTAGAAACCTGCGTAGTAAGTTTTTAACATAGGATATGCTGATGGAGTACGTCTGGATTTGGCGTGACGTTTTGAGCCAAACTCGTACCTGAGAGCACCAGTCTCGTCGTGCGCGAGCTCTTCGGTAGGTTAATTGCAGACGTAAAGTTTGAATTAATGTGTTTGACCGATGGTCGCCTTCGCCCTTAAGGCATATTCCTTTTTCTATGGTAGATGGTAGGCAGTTTCGTGAGATTGGCTATGAATGCCTTGAGCCTGCAGTGAAAATATATTTCTAAGGTGAAATCTTCCTCAATGAATGGCAAACCGCTGACAACAGTAATGATGCCTGCCGCTGTCCGTATTCCATCGAAAATTGGATAATTTTTGATTCTCCAAAAAATGACCATGGAAAAACGTTGTCAAGTATTATTTTCTTTGGATTTCTTTAAATCCTTGCAGATGTCGATGGGGAGGAGTAGATCTTCTCGCCCCAGTGCTTTTTCGTTGGTCATGGATTTTGTCCGGTTGGCGATACCGGGAGTTCGAAGACCAAATAACACACTCGCATTTATCGATCAAGTTTCCTTTGCAATGCATCCCGATATATGAGATTTTTTTCCATTTTCTACTGTCCAACACAAACCGTTAAATGGTGTCTAGGGCGCATGCTCATTGCCGCTTACCTCTTGATAACGAAGGCTCGCAGCCAGCACACACCGGAACCTAGAAACAATCCCTGGAACGGCGCAGCTGGAGTGAACATTCCAAATGGGTCTAAATAGTATGTTCACCGTATTGCTATCATTTAATGTTATTTTTCCCGCCCTTTTTGTCCGACGTACCGCTTCTATTGACATTATCGAAGAATGAATGAAAGTCAAAGAAAAAAAACCATTTGGCAACGGTACAGCAAATGAATCACCATTTCCTGTGTCAATATAAATAGTCTTTCGACGACTTTTTAAAATGAAGTCCACATTTTTGTGTTTCGAACAGGAGGTATATCTTCGGCATAGCTGATCCTAAATTAATGCTCCTCAGTTTACAAGAGTAATGATATAATGACCTAATGGCGTGATGAGCAAAATACCTATTTAGATTGGGTATAATATTTTCCCATCTCAGACCAAGAGTCGTCCAATTTAGAATAAGATTCTTCGTGAGAATCACATCTATCATGCTTCTTCTTCTAAAAGGAAAATTAATAATACTCAAGAGAATGACACGTGGTCGTAAAGAGGTCTAGAGTGGACTTGAACGAAAGTGTTTGATATATTTTCCCATCTCAGACCACGAGTCTTCCAACTTAGAATAAGATTACAATAAGAATCAACACAGTTATAAAATGCAAAAAGAAATGATACTGAAGAGAATGACACGTAGTCGTAAAAAGGTCTATTACTGCGTACTTGAAGAAAAGTGTTCATGATCTCTGCAGAGGGCGGAAAACAGTAGGGAAAACCCCTAGATGCCCAGAAGGGTAAGCTGTACAAGAGATTCTGCTCACACACGATGGCTGACCGCCAAACTAAATTGCGTCGGGTGAGTCCGATTTCCTAATATTACCTGCACGAATCGACTCAGCTCTTGAAAAACAGAGCTTCAGTATCCTAAGCCATTTCTATAAAACGTAATCTTATAGGCGCAGCAAACCGTAGCGTCGCCAATGCAATCGCTCTCCGTCTACGTTTGATGAACTGTTAGGTGAGCTTCACGGGGTGTAAAACGTAATCTAGAATTAACACTGGCCTAGTTTAGAACAGCACAACCCGTGCGCTGATCCCATCGGCGGGTACCTTAACCTCTCCCCTCACACTGTAGGCGGATTTGTTTTTGTTGGCCTTCAAGTCGCTGCGTTAAAAAACTATTCGTTTGTTTATTTTAGACGCACAAAAGCTTTTAAACATAGATCTAGGCAAATGCCCCCCAGGTTAGATTGCTTGTCTAAAATTGAACTTATTAGATTTGAAAAGTGTAGTCTATGTTTAACACCCGTGAAGACTAGCTGCAAAGACAGATTCGGTACATCTTTTTTTATAACACTTTTTTGATTTGATCTTTGACAGCCGCGTATGTATTTTTGATCAAACCGGAAGCAAAATAAACGGAAATGAAAATCGTCATTGGAATGAATAGAAAATTCGTGTTCTTGGCGCATAGTCAAAAAACATTATTCATTTGTGGTTTTCTTTCCACGCCTTAAAATTTCGAAGACTCGTACAACATAGAGCAAACTCAGAAATTTCTGGGATCAAACATTTGCTGCGAAGAAAATGTCCAGCTTGACGGCAAGCAAATCCCCGGATTAGTGMTAAGCTTATTCTATTTTTAGAAGATAGCATTAGAAGGGATAGGAACATTGAAAATGAAAGTATTCGGAATTGATGCTGACAAAGGAAATCTGGAAATATACCTACAAATCGTTGAGTTGACGTAGACTCTCGACCCTCGACGCTCGACGCTCGACAAAAACAGAACTCCAAATCGTTCAAATAGAAGCGAACTTTCCATCAATTCAGTGATTTTCGTTGACAGACAAGATGTACGTAAAACATGCCATTATGACAACATTAAGCCCGTCAATCAAACAACATGACAAATGTGTTCAACATGGTACTATTATTTTCGATCCAAAGCTTTGAATTGCATCCCTGTGATCGCAGTTCAACTATGTTATTGTTGTGGTATATGTCAAGGTCATTTTGCGTCACAACCACTAAGAATATAATGTCAACAAATCCATGTGAGAGAAGATGTTTAAAACCTTCAGACATTCTAATTGTCAAATATAATAATCTGCTCTTAACACATATAAACCGTCCAGCTTACTTTTTCGCTAGCGAACTCAGGCGGAGTTGTGTCAACCAAGGCATTGTTCGATCAATTAGCTTCTTAACCAAACCATGGTCATCCTAATTGGCTATAAACTATGACCAAACATTTCCTACTTCTAATAGTAACAATTTTTGCTACGAAAAACTATGAAAGCTTAAAGATAATAATTATTACTTGCTAATATCTAAATAGTATTTTTGAATTGTTGAAGTGTTGTTATTTTTGAACGTAATGAGTAGAGTTACCTTGTGAAGCGATGGTAACCGGCGCACGAGTCCAAGAGATCGGAGTCCAAAACCGCAGAAATATCCTATAAAGACGCGAGATACAARAGATGGTCTTCTAGCTGTGGCCTTGGACTGGCAAAGAGTAGTCGTACACGGTAGCAGCCAGTAAATAGGTTCGTATCAGACCAGCAATGAATTTGTAGATTAGATCGGAACGAAGGCTGGATATAACTGAGTGAAGTAGAACGGAACTTCTCCACACGCCAAATAAATGATGTGCAAGTGTTGAGTTGATTAGTGTGATTGACAAGCTCGTTGATATCCTGGAGTCAGGGCAAGCGCGATTCCCGGTATGCACTACGATAGCCCATTAGACTTAGTAGCCAAAGAGAATCAAAAGGGACTGACGCAGAAATGACATATTGACCTGTCAATCAGTGTACAATCTCTAGGTACACCGGCTGCCATTCAAAAGAAACTTCCACAGCCACTAAACTTAGTATCGAAGACTTTCTTTTTCCTAGCGAATAGATGTCTATTACTAACTTACAACAACGATGGAATGTTACGAAAACATTCCTGATAGTGTTAGCAAAAGAATACTGAATTTTTGCCAACTTTGAAACAAGAGAATCCAAACATCAGCCCTGCGTCAAACTAAGCCGTTCACATTTTATCGGGAGGTCATCTTTCACTAAGCGCTTTTTTTTTCCTTTCAAAAATTCTATGGTACAGAAGTAGTTACTATTCTTTGAGATGACTGTTCACTGAAAGTTTTCAAGGTAAACCAAAATTGACCCCGGCCCTTTTATTGGATAAGATCTCAGTTTCACACGGACCCGGATACGTATCATATGCGAGTAAGAGTAGGGGTCTTCTTTGAGAGTCTTACTCCGGGTTCTCTGGTTTTCTTAACTCCAGAAAACCCAACACGCTAACTTTGATTTATGCATTTGCCGTGCTCTGACTTGGATCAACCCTGAGGTTGTTTCAGCCGGGTTCGATAAAATTATTGTTTGGTTTATAAACTCTATTCACATATCTAAAAGACCGTGAGACACTGGTGTTAATAAACATGCAAGCGAGGTCAGTTGCTCCAGAGTGCGTAAACAGTTCGAGGCCGGTGGGGCAGAATAGCTTATTTTGGCAGCCGAGCGTAGCATGATTTCGGCGCGAAACTGATTCCAACCAAATAAGGTATAAAGAAGCAATCTCTCATGGTGGAAGGTCGACCTGAAAGCGTTACGATGCATTTGCTGGAAGTATCTCAAGGCATATCTAGTGTTATAACTTCATTTTTATATTGGTTTCCTAGTGTTTCTGTATACTTTGCTACGTTTTCTTTTACTAAGAAAAGGCTCAACTTCATCAAAACGGAAGAACACTACATACTGAGCCGACAGGTTGCCCTTATCCTGGGCTGTGGCTGAAAAGACAATGATATTTTTCATTTTTAAATTTACGGTTATTTTAGCTTTAAGAGCTTGATAAATGTTTACGAACCTTTATGTATCCACTGGGAGTTGATATTAAAGCTATTTATGTCATACTTCCGGTTTTTTCGAACATTGGTCTCTTCCCGCGTAGTCGTGAAATCAGTTTTAACTACAGTACGGGGGAGAAAAATCTTTTAAAAAAAGCGAATTTACGGCATAAATAGCTTTAATATCAACTCCCAGTGAATCATTCGCTAGGAGTTGTTATTGAAGCTATTTAATTTTTTTAAAGAAGAAATTTGTAAAATTTGTAAAAAAAAAACCCCAATATCACTGTCTTTGAAGTCACAGGACAACACTACCTAGGCAGCCTGAGACTTCAAGTCTGAACTCAAGGGATTAACACCATTTATATATCAACAGTTTACCACAGGAATACTCTAATTAGATCTGTTTCCTGAGCCTGTGGATCCGTTCTCTCGACGCGGAAGGTTGGAGGAAAGGTAATGACGACAAAACGGGCACACCAACTGTAAATCCGTACTACAAGGTCATTTGGATATCTTGAGTCCATTTGGAATGACCCCTTTCGAAGGGGTTTTGAAAGATTTATCGGTCATTTTAAAACGATATGTCACGTAGACTAAGTGTTTAATCTTTTTTTTATCTTTAATAAAAGCAAAGGAGACGAAAATGTTGACGGTAAAAAACTGCATAAAGGAAGTCACGTAGCTCGCTTCATTCCTGACAGCCAAGTCATGACTTCTTCAGTTCAAGCAAATTTTACCCCTGTTGAGACAAGAACCAAACGACTCTCGACGTCCGAATGATGCATCTTTCCAGATACGTGACATAGAGTTAGAATACCTTTCTAGACTTTTCTATCATTAAACAGATATGAAACTTACATAAGATTTATATCGGGACCCCAATTGCGTTAGTCACTGGTTCCGCCATCGTTGTTCCCAGCACACACACACACGGGATGATCGTCATGGGAAACAAAACTAGTCGGCTAATTCGTTCCATATTATTGTTGAAAAAAAATTTTCAATGGCACGTGCCAATGGAATATCATGGAAACGCCTTAGTTGACGTTCAACAAAACTTCTTCTCTGTACGATTCCTCGCAATGTTCACAGTATTGATTCTACATGGGGTAAGATGTTGAATAACCCCCAAAAAATTCAAACCGCCTTGAGAGCGTCTTCTTGAAGTTATAAAGGTTTTTCCATGTCATATGCTAATGCTGTGACGTATGAAGAGGCATTTATGGATTTTTGTTGTTCCTTGTAATTCGAAACTCCGGCTTCTATGTGAAAACCAATTTGCAATAATTTCTACAAGAGCAATGGGATTACTCCTCATACGTCATAGCATTAGCATATGCCATGGAAAAACCTTTATACTTCAAGAAGCCGCACTCGAACTCTGAAATATTTTCTGGTTATTCAACATCTTACCCCATGTAGAATCAATACTGTGAATATTGTCAGAAGGGTGATAGGTACTTTAAGAACTGACGAGAGTAACGCCAAAGGCGGAGGAAGAAGGTAGGGATGATAGAAAAGGAAGAGAGAGGAGAGAAGGAGAGGAAGGGAAGAAATACTTATTTCAATAAGTAAATAAATGTATTAAAATACTTCAAGCTTAATTTCTATAAACATTTTTGTCCGTCATCGTTTTTTCCGATCAATGAAGGAAAAATGGCTAACTGACCTTGCGACAAAGTTTGGCGGCCGTCAATGGAAATTACTGAATACTTCGATTAATATCTATTAAAACCTGTCGCGACGAAGATTCTGTGCAACACAGTAAAGAATAACACCACATGTTTGGAGAATTCTTCCTCGACTTATGTGTAAATGCCACAACAATATGATCTTCCTTCAAGTATATTTGTCTAACGCGAGGCAAAGGAACCAGCAGCTATTAATGTCGAGAACTCTGACCATGGCTTCGATTGTTTGTAGACCACGACAATAGAAACTTTGGTTTTCATTTCCTCAAGATTATCTTATCCTAACACTCTCGAATAATCAGGAAATTTATATGTAAACACCTTAGAAGAAGGCTTGAAGTTTTCCTGACAATTTCCGTTTCCTACTTTTCACTTTCGTGGTTGCTTGGTCAAGGTCATGATAAACTTTTTCTCGCATGGCGACTTTGAAGGACCCCTTATCTCTTATCACACGGAGCCAACTCAGTGCCAAACAGTTTGTAATGGCAACATTTCAAATATTTTTTTGCGGTTAAGAGCCACTGGAGGTATTTGCGTGTAGTATGTTGTAGTAAAGTAAGCAGGGCTTGAAAAAAAAACGGTTAAGACTGAACATTTTAGCTTTAGGGCTCGTGATTCATGATTACTGACTTAAAATCAGACGCTGTTCATAGCTTATGGATAGGTCATTAAGATAATTATAGTTGAAATAGGAACTCCTCATCACATCAGACATATTCGAGTTTCTATAGTTATAGTTATAGTTTGTATAACTTATAAATAAAAAAGCAAAAGCTGATAAGAAACCTAAAAAAAATATATTCTTTCGTCTTCCATTAAAGTTGTTAGTTAAACGTATTTGCTAGTTGTCTTCGTTTTAAAACTTTAAAGATTTACTCAGCTTTTATCAGCGTTTTTGTTACTACAGAACTTTTAAAAATTGAACTGTGTTCGCTTGCTATAACTATGGAAAGCTAACCCTTTGGAAAGCTAACCAGCTTCTATTCGAGATCCAGCGTGACATTTTAAATATTCATCTAAGACCAACAAAAATATCATGATTTGTTTGAAAGACCATGTCAAAGTTAGTTAGAGTCAGAGAAAGGTTTGAAAGAAACTCGGCAAATGCATGCCATAAAAGTTATAAATGTCCAAAGCTTCGCACATGTCATGGATGGCAACATTCTTATTGTCATCTTTGGTCATCGCTTACTCGGGTTCTGTTGGAGTATTTTATTTCAAACGCTCCACTTTTACTAAACTGGACTTGCTCATTTCAAGTAATGATATTTTTTTGGTCTTGAATTAAATATCACGCTACACTTGCAAATTCCCCATTATTTCACACATAAATAAACTTACTTTTTCTTGAACCTTGGGTATCATTTAGTGAAAATGCATCAGAGCTACGTTAGTACTGAACGTTGAGTGCTTGGTTTTTATTGCGTACTGTCTGTGGCTTACATAATGAGTTTAGTTCTTAATTAACTCAAGCAATGGCTTTTGTTAGAACAATGTGAGATGGCTGATAAACAACAATGAATCTCATGGTGTGTAACTTCGCTTAGCTTTGAAGTGAAACTCCATAAAAGAAAATTTATGAATTAGGTAAACAAACTTACAAAGTATATATATACCCTGAATTAATATTCTCATTATTTATTATAAATGAAGTGAATAGTTGAATGGTAAAATAAGTCTTGACTTTAAGTTATTAGGCTATTTCAGTGTTATAATGACTGTGACGTCATTGAAGGTATTTGAGTGTATTCGTTGTAACTAGCAATACATGTACTAAGTAAGTCTTTTCATCTTTTCACGGTGTATAATTTACCTTTTTATCAATACTAAACACTTGTCATTATGAGAAAACAATTTTACAATAGCCTTCATGTAAACCATGGGTAAAATAATGATGCTTTTTAAAAAACTGTTGTGCGAATCTGGTTCAATTTGTATCCTTAATGAAGCCTTACAGTGCGGACACTCTAACCATGAACACTTCGAGGTTTTTTTGACATTTTTTCAACATTTTCAAAACTATCCAATCAGCGATCTCCTTCTTAAAAGGAATGAAACAACTTTTAGGCATCATCCAATCAGAACACACGATATAATTGATGTGATTTAGTTTTGCAGTAGTTCCCATGAGAAAGCTAAAAATAGAACTCCTAACGATTGTCGTGATTGGATAACGCATTAAATAAAGTTTGAAAAATGTTGAAAAAATGTCAAAAAAACCTCGAAGTGTGTTCATGGTTAGAGTATCCGCACTGTAAATGACGTCACATCCACCAACATATTAGAAATACTACAATCAAATCAAGAAGTATTTTACTATTCAAATATTACTGAGAATATCAAATGAGAGAATAATCATATGAGACACGTGTGCAGTGCTCTGAAATGAGAAAATACTACACCCAAGGTAAAGAGGTCTAGTATTAACTAATATATAAGATATTTTCATATTCATTTGGAGATATCCAATCAGTAAAGGCTATCGAGATTAGCCATAAACTATTATTGCATGCATAAATAATACGAYATCAAAATTAGATCGAATGAAAGTTTATAAAGTGAAATAGTCACCAGAGAAGAACCTATGCGCATGCGTGAATTTTATACTGTTGTTCAAGAAATTAAAGAGACATTTTCGTCCTATATGCGCATGCGCATCTTCCTATGAAACATGCGCAATGAAAGTATTAGATTATTATTAAAGAAATATTATGATACCAGATACCATTGAAAAACTTTTTCTCGTGGTTCGTGCCGTCACAAATCGTCTATATACCTCTAAGGCGCATGTGCTATGTACCGCTGAGTTTAAAACGAAGGCTCACATCCGCTCCGAATAGTTTCCGAACAAAACGAATTAACCAATCGTGAGAGTAGGATCGTGAGACGTGTAAAAATGTACTTAATTCTACTGCAACTATAACTAGACATACAGCGCAACCGTTGACAGCATCAGAGTTTTTGAGGTATGCCGCACTGGTATTTTTTTCCGATGGATCGTTATGAAATTTCCAATTCCGACTTAAAAGACTATGAGAGAAAAGACGCATTTCATTGGCTGGTAAGATTACGTCATTGCCAGCAATGCTGCAAATGTGTTCACGGCGTAATGAAACTTATTCAGTGCGCATAACGTTGCAGAGGTAGTTTTTATTATTTATCGCTTTTATTTTTCTGTTGGATTCCTCTGGTTTGTTTTTACGCGGTTCAAGTTACTGAGGTGTGTATACCGTGTAAATGCATTATTTGCGTACAACCTTGCGAGCAACCGTTGAACAGTATGCACGCCTTAGCCTGTTTAATTGCGACCTTTCAAAAGTCGAATAATTAGTTCTCGATAAAGCCGTGCATGACGTAAACTTGATAAGTGAAGTAAAATACGAAACAGCCCTTGACTTTTGATTGACAGATGATCAAAAGTTCAAATGCCGTCTTGTTTTGTGAGGCCCCGTCCACACTATGCCGGATAAATTTGAATCCGAATTTTTATTTGTTCGGCTAGGCCTACCGTCCACACTAGTCCGGGCGAATCCGGAACAATTCTTCACCGAAAACGAATTTTTTCGAATACGGTCTCCAGAGTGGAACAATTTGAAAACGCCGGCTAGCCGTATTAGTGTGGACGGAGAACATTTCGTATCCGAAATTTTTCGAATACGATGACGTCATATTTGTCATGAGAACATGGCGGGAAGGCTAAAAATTGACCGCGGAATCAGTCATCATTTTTTGGTCCCCGTTTCATACTGCGCCTGCAAAAGAAAAAAGCTCCTTTGCATCCAGTTTTACCCCCCCCCCCCCCCCCCTACTTTATAACCAGTCCCTTACTAGACTTCATGCAATTACATACGATATCAAGAATATTAAAAGAATTGGTACCAAAAATTAAACGTTGGGTCAATATGCCAGTCCCGAGTCTGACTTGTAAAGTCTGAAAACCTGGTTTCTCTTATCTACCCTATCCGCCGTACTAGTAATAACAATTATTAGTCATAACATTTATCGTAATAATAACGTTTTCTATCAGGACACACGCAATAATAGCCTCCATGTGACAAAAGGGCATTACGGCAAGTTGATCCATCTTTGCAGACGCCTGGGTTTGCTCCGCATGGATCAAAATCTAAAAGAAAAAGGTGTTAGTTAACTGTGTGTCCTATAATGTAAATTATAAAATATTTAAGATGATTACGCGCGTGCTGATTGGCTGGCTACCGTGTTTATAGCAGAGGAAGAAGACATGCTTGTGCAAAATCGTTCAAACATATTTTATAAAAGCAATGTAAAACGGCAGCTTATGTCTCTGTACTGTGATATAAACACTCTGTAGGGCACTCAAAAAGCTAGAGAAAACACTCAGCTCCGCCTCGTGTTGACGTTGGGCCTATGCTTGCTTCTCGTGCTCTACAACTGCCAGCGTGATTATATCACAGTAGAGAGACATGCGCTAATTGTAAGAATGTTGTCACATAAATATGAAAATTTGAAGTACTCGTAATAGTTTTTCAAGCAAAAAAATGCGTTTTTATTTCACTGTTTTGAAGGTATAAACTGATATTTTTGATATTACCTTGTTGGTATATACTAAAACAGATATTCGCATCAATTCAATGGGACTTTAGAATCAAAATCAAAAAAGCTATTTCTAACTAAATCCTCTTTGTATTTTACTCAATATTGTGATATCAGTGTAGTGGTGGTACAATGTTTGATAAAGTCTCTGCTCGCTGATAAAAACACAATCGCATCGATTTTGTTTCGTTTTGTTTGTCGGTTGTTGTTTTAGGTAAAACTGATCATAAAATCAAAAATATTCTTTAACATGAAATATCTCACGGTGGCATCTGAATGCAAAGTAGTTGGCCGGACAGGTACATCCACCCCGATATATTGACTTATTGATGCAGGTGCCTCCATTCTGACATGGATGTGCCACGCAATTATCAAGATCTGAAAAGAAAATCAAGTGATGATATACATAAGGCGAGTGAAAATTTATGAAAATTTCTGCTGCTAATGCTACTGCTTCTCTATACTACCACTATTACTATATCTTCTAAACAATTATTATTGGATGAGGTTGAGCATGATATTCGTAAATTATCAAGACCAAGGCTGACGTGTTATCTGCCGAAGCCGTAGACCAAGGCGGATAAAATAGTTAAGGTCTTGATAATTTGAAATATCAAGCGAAAACCGAACTACGACTACTATGACTGCGACTGCGACTGCGACTGCGACTGCGACTGCGACTGCGACTGCGACTGCGACCACTACTACTACACTACTCTTTAACTCCGACGACCAGTGTCCGAAACTCGGTCAGTTTTTTCATCTTTTCACGGTGTATAATTTACCCTTTTACCATTACTGTTTCATTAGAAACACCAACGCAGCTCACACTAGTATTTAGCTAGCTATCTCTTCTTACTACTACACTACTAATCAGTAGCATCAACTTACTTTCACATCTTGACCCATAGAACTTATTCGTGCAGCTGCACTCAAAACCATTCACCTTGTCGTGACAGGTGCCGCCGTTTAGACAGGGATTACTCTGGCACTCGTTAATGTCTAAGTAAATTATAAAAAAACATGATGTAGTTACCTTAGCTAAAGGAGTACAGACTTAAMAGATCAAAAACAGTTTTCCGTGTTTGATACTCTGATCAAAACACGCGGGATGTTGAAAGAACACGAGAGGAGCAAAGGAAACCACGACGCGTAGCGGAGTGGTTTCCAGCTTCTCAAGTGTTTTACTTCGATTAGCATAATTTACGTTCTCACTGAGCATTGGTAGTTTTTGGTAAAAAGGCCTCATTTTCTCTATCAGAAAAAACTGAATCATGAAAGTCGTGTATAGCGGTAGTCTTGGGTGGTACAATCTGCTACTTTCACCTCTGAGATATCAGGTTTTCCTGGACGAGCTGCGTATGCATCACATGTGAGTAGACGTTGTTGGGTATCTCCTTTGATTCGAGGAGTTTTTCTCCTTTAACATGCTACTAATACGTACTCACCAATATCGCACGTTTTCCCGCTATAGCCTGGCACACAGGTACACCAAAAGTCATTGAGTCTGTCTGAGCACGTTCCGTTAACACACGGACTGGATTGACAATCATCGATATCTAAAGAAAGACGTGAAAAATAAGAATTATAAGCGCTTTTTCTTAGGAAGCCCAAAAGCGCCGTACGATGTTTTGACTAAATTAGAATTACTAAAATCTAAGAAAATGCTTTTTAAAACTAATAAAATCTCGTAGAAAGATAGGTCATTTATCACTAACCGCGAGAATCAATAGCTTAAATCCTAAGACTGAAAAGCACTGAAACGACAGAGCCTTTGAAATCCAGGGTAGTTATACCGACTACAGTTACAGAAAACCTGTCTCAGAATCAAACACTGTTACTTTGTATCACGCTGCGCACTCGGGTTCCCTGTTGTTAAAATTGCATTAGTGTATAAAACACACTTACCAATTTCACATCTCTGTCCAGTTCTTCCAGGAACACACTGACATGTGTAGCCATTGACTTGATCTACGCAACTGCCGCCATTGTAACAAGCGTTGTCGAAACAATCATCGATATCTTGAAGGTAATAATACTACATGTTAGTGTGTAAAAGGTGGCCGCAAAGTAGGGGTCTCAGGTTAATTTGATTCCTAACTCGCCCGGGAAGGGGGGGGGGGGG